GTGATCCAAATATAAATGCTTCAGAGTATTTGCGGGGTGGGGCGGGCAATCGTATTTTTGCTTAAGTGCTGTGGGCGTAGCATTTTAAGGAGTTTTGGTTGGGCTGTGTTTTTTCCTTGCGATACAAGATTGCAAGTGAGAGGGCGCTGATAGCTGAGTACCCCGCCTAAAACAAACCACGGCCAGGAGGGGTGTTTTAGGAATTCTTGAAAATTATCTGAGTCCAGGAGGTAAAGCCAGGAACCTTGAGAAAGGAGATCAGAAGGCAATTGAGTGGGTAAGAGAATCTTAAGGAAAGGGGCAGAGAGAGAGAGGTTTCAGCTTTGAGTTCTCTCCTACGTCTCAAGCACCACGAGGTTTAAAATAGCCCTGGGCTTAGCGGGCACTTTGCTCAGCCTTGAAGATGCAGAGTTGAGTGATCAGTGCTCACCACTGAGCTGTGTTCTTCGTGCCTGTTGTGTAAGCTCCTGTGACTGACGTCTCCTGAGGGAAGGGTCTTCGATGTGAAGAGAGCACGACTCTCAGGGCAGGCAGGGGAAATTCTCAAGGCAAGGAGGCTTGTCCGAAAGGCCTGTGAAATGAGTACCAGGTTCAGGGGCCTGAGTCTTTGGACGCTAATAAAAACTTTACTAAGCTCTATTTTCAGCAAAGGAGTAGAACTGTGGGATTTTACATTAGACAGTGAAATTACCCCGAATGTAACTCATTCTGACGTTGGTCTGCCAGCCAAGGACAGAAGAGGCAGCTCCCGGCCAGCCCCGCAAGGTAGCAGTTCTGGGATCATGGGTCCTAAAAAGGATTTAAGGCCGTTGAACTTACTAGAAAAGTCCGGGGATGCGGGTGGTGGAGAGCGTTGGCCTCCCGGGGAGGGCCGGGCCTGAGCCCCGGAGAGCAGCGGGCTCGCTCCCAGGTTCACTCCGCTGCTGACCCGGTGCTCGTGTGAATAAAATCAATCAGTTTTTAAGAATAGACTTACTTTTTGCTGCACAGCTCAGTAGAGCTGTTTTCATTCTTAGCACAGACACGTTTGTCTTCCCGGAACTGACGGAAGGGATTGCTCACCAGCCCTCCGGGGACCCTTTCCGTGCTCATGTTCTGTTCTGAGTGTTAAATTTATGTGAGATTAAGATCACATAGAAATATCAGTAAATTGGCCCTGAGTTTAGCAAGAGCAGAAGGGCTTTGGGAGGTGATTAGGCAGGCTCATCTGGCCTCGCGTGGCGAGCCTCTGCAGTCTCTGAGCACGCGCCAGGACGTGCTCCCGCCCCGGAGCGGCTTGGCGTCTCCGCCCAGCTGTAGTGCCCTTAGGGAGTGCAGGTCCCCGTGAGGTTCCTCCCTGGGCTTCGTTTGCGTAGGCACTTCCGCGACTCGTGGTGTTTATTAAATCACGCGGCATTTAACTTGGGGTGAAACCCAACCCCTCCTGGAAAATTCAGCGTGAAATCCTGAGAACGACAGACCTGGGGCTGCGTCAGGGCGTGGAAGCACAGTGGGAGCGGCAGGCGCCCCGGAGCCCCGCGCACCCCGCCGTGTCTCAGACGTGGTGCCGAGGCCCAGGATCGAGGCCGCGCCTGGCCTGGCCTGGCCTGGCCTCCATCACTCCAGGGGTTCTCGGAGCTTACTGTTCTTGAGAATTTCTGCGTTGGGGCTGGACATGTGTGCTCTGGTTGCTGGTCACTTTGAAGGGTTTTGAGGGCTGTGTGGCCCCGCTGCTGCGACAAGTGTGTGTCTCCAGAGAGCATCCGTGGAGTGATGTCTGTGCACCTAGCTTCTTGTTCTTGGGGGTGTCTCGGCACGAGGGTGGTTAGAGGGCATGGGAGCCTTGCCATCGGCTGGCTTTGCTCATTAAATGCTGGCCTAGTGCCCGCTGTACACAAGAGCCGTGAAGCTGCCATTGCTGCTTTTAAGATGCTTCGCCCTCAGGGCAGTAGCTGTGCCAACAGCCCTGATGGCAGGGAACTGCCCCGGGGGTGTGTGCACAGCCCCCAGGAGGGCAGAGCAGCGGCCCCTGAGCCGGCCTGGGGTGGGAGATGGTACTGGAAGTAAAAACTTTTTTTTTTAATTGAAGTAGAGTTGAGTTGACAATCTCTCGGTCCATCCATGTTGCTGCAAATGGCAATGTTTCTTTCTTTTTTATGGCTGAGTAGTATTCCATTGTATAAATATACCACGTCTTTATCCAGTCATCTGTCAATGAACACTGAAGTTGCTTCCATATCTTGGTAAAATAGTGCTGCTGTGAACATTGGGGTGCATGTGTCTTTTCAAATTGGTGTTTTCATTTTCTTCGGATAAATACCCAGGAGTGGAATTGCTGTGTCATTTGGTAGTTCCTTTAGTTTTTTGAAAGATCTCCATACTGTTTTCCGCAATGGCTGCACCAGTTTGCATTCCCACCGATAGAGTACGAAGGTTCCCTCTTCTCCACACCCTTGCCAGCGTTTGCTGTGTTTCAGAGGTGAGCTTTAGAAGGGGCTTCACGGCAGGAAAAGACACCGCGTGGAGGTGCCAGGGTCAGGAATGGGCCTCAGTGTCCACGAGGGAAAGTCCAGGAAGGGCTTCTCCCTAAGATCTTCTCATGTGCGACATCCCAGGCACGAAGTGAGAGCCGGGGAGGAACAGGGAGCTCCTCGCCCGCCGCCGGCACGTGCCATGCGGTGGAACGTCCGCCTTCCCTGCTCTCCAGCAGTGGTCTCGCTGCCATCAGGGTGATTTGGGGGTACACGTGGATTTCCACATTCCTCTTCACCTTGGCGCCATGCGACTAGAATTTGTTGGAAAGGACTCAAGGGTGCGTGGGAAGAGAGGAGAGAGGGCACCCCCGTGCGTCTTCTTTAGGGTTCTGCTTCAAGTTGCTCCTCTGCGAGACCCCCTGGTGCGGTCCCGAGGGGCCCCCAGGGCATGCGGCTGGTGCCCCGTTCCCGGCGTGGGAATCCTGTCTGGGGTGAGACGCGGCTCGGGGCTCGGAGATGCCTGTAGGTGTTGGTTGGAGTTTTGTTTGGTCTTCATACCTGGAAACAGAACCTTTCTCTTTGTGAGCTCGGCTATGCATTTTTTAATTTTCCTTATATTTTAGCGAACATTTTAAACTACTTATAATGGGTGCGTTCCTGAGTTAAGTTAACCTGCTGTTTTGCTGACAGGGCTGTTTTCAGCCCTTTGTTTTGATTTCACTTGATGAATGGCACAGGACAGTCGCGTAGCCTGCTGGTCAGTCTGCGTTTTCGTACTGCGCAGGAAGGATGCACGGCTTTGAAAATAGTTCATTCACCTCTGTTACGTGAAGAATGCATTAAATTGCCATTGCATAGCACGTACTGTTACTTGAAACTCAATTGTAAACTGTTCTTGGTTTTTAATTCACATGTCTCATTGGTTGTGGCTTCGATTTTCTAATGCATTTGGGGTGTTTTTAGGCAAGAGGCTGGTTGTCAGGACAGGACACAGTGTCTGTCCTCTCCATGAGATGTGACCCTTTGGGTGGTAGCAGGACTTGCTGTTCCCTCTCCCAGAGACCTGGGGCTGCCCTGGGGAGGGTCTTTGCGGGAAGTGCGGGTTCTCTGGGGGGTGTTCACTGTGGCCTCACTGATGCCACCTCACTTCCTCCTCCCCCTGCGGTGGCTCTGCCTGGGGGGGTGGGAGGAGCCCAGTAGCTTGATGTCTGCAGAGGAAGAGTGGGGATAGTGATTCCGTCCTTTCAAGGGTGATGTTGTATCTCACGGAAGCCTGGAAGCCTCCGTCCGTATTCGAATGCCTAATTTGGTTGGGAAAAGCTTGTATTTGCACTCTGCCCGCCCCCTTCAGAGATGTCATTCGAATGTTTCTGTGCTGAAGATCTCAGTGAGAGGGCGTTGAGGCCACACATCTTAGTTTGAAACTGTAGAGTTTGTGTTAATGTGTAACACGGCTGTTGCGCCACACAGGGCTGGAACGTCACAGCCTGGGAGTTCAGACATGTATAATTAATAAAAAGTAAGTCGTTAACAGCTGCGGATGTGCCGGGCACGTATAAATTATGTAGCTGTTCCAGCCTGAGATGGGAGGGCTGCGATCGAGCTGCTAATGAGGGGCTTACAAGTCGCTGTACCGCCGATGCCTCTCCCCCCCTCAGTGTGCGTTGCTGCAGACCGTAGTCAGTGTAAAGCTTTCACTGTTGGTAAATGTTTTTGTTTTAAAATAGACTAATGGAATATCAAAATAAAATTCTTCTATTAGGACAATCTTTTCACCATCCTCCAATAAAGAAGAAATTAAATCTCCGTGTAGTCAGAACCAGTTGCTTATCTACAACAAGGTTAGAAATTTAAGTCCTTAAATAGATCATTGAATCATCTCCGATTTTTCCGGTTTTGAATATTCCCCATCCCCCCAAAAAATAAACTTACAGAACTATTAATTGTTTTAAAAATGGGCTCTATCCTCTAGATATTTGCTTATGTGTCCAAAGTATAGAGGAGGCTAATATCCATCCCTGTGTATGAGAACAAGGCCCCGGGGCGATGTCAGCGTCCATCAGGACTGCTTAGGTAAACCGCGGTCGTCCGTGTCCTGGGGTGGGGCTTCCACCACGGGTGTTTGTATGAGAAGAGTGAGGCGCTTAGAGAACAGAGAGTTGGGGTCAAACAGGGAGACCAGCAAAGGGCGTTTGGTCCCCAGCACGGGTCGGCCCCCAGGCCACACAGGAGGGGCGCTGGCGCTGCGGACAGGGGACTGTGTCCTCATCTGCACGTTCTGCCCTTGGCGAAAGGGCCGTTTGTCTAGGCAGGCCCCCGTTCGGCTGCTTTGAATGTCCCCGTGCCTGCTCACGTCCCTTGTCCCTGGGTGTGTCTGGACACTGCCTGGTTCTTCTCGATTACCTGTCACGTGGGTGGCCTTTCTAGTATCAGAAGAATAAAGAGAGCAGTGTGGCTGGCAACGGGCGAGGGGTCGTGGCACTTGGGGAGGTGCCCCTGCTGCTGCGCCGGGGCCTCTCGGCTCACGCCCGAACGTGTCTTCCCCAGCAGCGGTGGCGGCCGTGTACTACAGCTACTACATGCTGCCCGACGGCACCTACTGCCTGGCCCCGCCCCCGCCCGGCGTGGACGTGGCCGCTACTACGGCTCCCTGCCGGCGGGGGCCGCGCCCGGCTCCGCCCCCGGGGCCGCCGCCCCGCCCCCTCCAGGGACCACGCCCCCGCCTCCCCCGGCCGCCGCGGAGACCAGCAGCGCGGGGACCTCCACCGCCATCGCCACAAGGTAGGCTCTGGCTTCTGCGGTCCCCCGGCGCGCGCGCTCCTTTATCATCGGGGTTTCGTGGAGGGTCTCCGCTGTCTGAGTAGTCATTACCTAGATCCCCAGGGTGCAGGGTCAGTAGCGCGACGGAAACTGTCATAGACACGCACAGCCGTGAGGTCTCACCCCTTAGAAGCTCCCAGGTGGCGTCCCGCACCGGCCCCCTTAACCCTGCCTCTCATGGGCTGACGGCTCAGTTGGGCCATACTAGGCAAATCAGTGGGAAGTGAAGCCAGATTATTTGCAAAAAATGCAGGATTTCACAAAGCTGGTGCAAGCGAATCTCTCACAAGCTGTTGGCCAGTGGGGATCTGGCCGGCAACCCAGCAAACCGCTGAGTAACAGAGCCAGCGAGGCTGGGACCGGAGCCCCAGCAGCTGTCACAGGCGGCGTGGAGTGGGGCGCTGAGGTCTGGAGGGAGCAGGCACTTTCTAAGAGGCACTGGAGTGTCTCAGGCTGAAAAGCGGTGCTCTGGAAATTTGATGGACACTTGGGTGTTTCTCCAGAAATGACCCACTTTCTGATCGTGCTAAGAAAGTCAAACATGAAGAGTGATGAGGCATGCTAGCCCGCGTTTTTTGTTTTCTGTTGTTAATATAGCAAAACTCCACACTTGACTTCTTGGTTGCTTCTAAGAATTAGCAATTGGAGGGAGATTTGAGGAGGGAAAAGATGAACCTATTTTTATGACCTGTGGTGTCATTAGTAACACCCCTGTTTTCATCTTTGGCAATGGTATCTCGGCCCTTGTTGAAAGGATTGACTGATGGGTTTCCTGTCGTACAAGTCACCGCGGGCAGAAGGCCTCCCTGTCTGTGTGTAACTTACCTGTTGGGGGGCCTGAGCCAGGGGAGCCCCTCCGGCAGTCGTGTGGACCCTCCCACCCGCGGCGATCTGGAGAAGGGTCCAGGCTGTGGACGTGACCAAGCTCTTCTCCGCAGCACACTGGCTCCGGTGGCCGCCATCATCCCCCCACCCCCTGACATTCAGCCCGTGATCGACAAGCTGGCAGAGTACGTGGCCCGGAACGGCCTCAAGTTCGAGACCAGCGTTCGTGCCAAGAACGACCAGAGGTGCGGTGCAGGGCTCTGTGGGCTGGAAGGGTGGTGTCGGGTTTAGGTCAGCTTCTTTGTGAATCTAGCTGCATTAAATGTATTTATTTCTTAATCCTTTTCTTCTTATTTACATAAATATATCTTGTTTAATTACTTAAAGTTGGGGTAGTGGCTTTTTAAATTATTCTCTGGATTTTTGTGTAGTTTGTTTTGCTTTATCTTTTAAAAATACTGAAGCTACCTAAAATAAAAGGCTGCAATTCACGCTTTTCAAGAATCCCCTGTGAAAATTTAGACACACACTGCAGTTTGTTTTGTTTAAGCAGATAGTGTTCCGTGCCTCTGGTGGTAAACTGAAAACAGGGCTTGTGGTTGCAGCGTGGTCTGCGTGACCGCGGACAGGCCCTCCAGTGCCGGCCCGTCTCCGGGTCTGTTGGGGGCCGAGGCCACTCGGCTCAGCCTCTGGGGCGTTGGGAGCCCGGGGCTCGAGCAGGCGGGTCAGTCGGGGCTGGGTGGGCTGCTGTCGCAGCGAGCGTGCCTTGTTGAGCGCCTGTCCCCCTTCTGCTCCTAGGTTTGAGTTCCTGCAGCCCTGGCACCAGTACAATGCCTACTACGAGTTTAAGAAGCAGTTCTTCCTCCAGAAGGAAGGGGGCGACAGCGCACAGGTGCGTGAAGCCTGGGGCTGCCTTGGTCTCACACATGATTTCAGGTGCAGTGTGTCTCGCATGTGCTGGATTTGACTTCTCTCGCCTCTCGCCTTAGGTCTGTTGAAATCTTTGACCCATGTTCATAGTCATTGATGATCATTTGTCCAGCACGTTCTAAGCAAAACATCCCTGTTTCTTCAAGCCTTAGATGTTTGGTCGGCTCTTATTTTTAACCGCGTTTGCTGGAAGCCGTGCCCTGTACTGCTGTCGGGCTGACGTGCACCTAGCGCACGAGACGTGGACCCAGGGGCACCAGCTGACGTGCGGGGGCTGCCAGCGGCTCCCTCAGGACTCCCCAGCACATGTCCCCACGCCTGGTTCTTGTGCACCTGTCGGGAGCAGTTGTCCCCATCCTTGTCACCTTTCCTTCCTCTCCCCTGCTCTCCTCAGCTGGACACCCTCATGTTTTTTAGAAACCTGTTTTGGTGGAGAGATGACGTAGGTTTTGCATGTCAGTGATCTCTGCACCTCGTGTCTCTGATTGCTCACGCTGAAGAGCGCGGCCTCAGCGGTGGGCACCGGGCACGACTGGTGCCTGGACGTAGCCTCAGTGACCAGCGAGCGCTGGTTCCCAAGATGGTGTTAGAGGGGTGGTCCCCCCTCCCGCCCTCCTTTAACGCTGCTGTGTCAGGAATAGTCCATCTGGGCAGAAGACGTGTTCCTTACACTTATGCAGGCGATGCCACACGTCCTCGTGTCCTTTCTGACACCCCATGTCGGTCCTGTGGAGCCGCTCACTGTCACGTTTCCCCTCCGCAGGCTGCGTCCACACCCGAGGAGGCTCCTGCAGAGTCTGCTCCTGACACGCCAAGTGACACCGCCGGGGAGGGCACCGTGTCCGAAGACGCGGCTGACGTGGGAAGGGGCAGCTCCTCAGGGAAGAAGGAGGCGCCACCCAGCAAAGCCGTCCCAGACGGGAAGCTGGTGAAAGGTACGCTGTCCTCGCCGCCGGGAGGCCCAGTCTTGACCTTGGCCTTGGAGATGTCACTTGATGCTAGCAAGGAGGAGCCTGGACCACTGACGGTCCGCTGCCGTTGACTGCGGCTCGGGAGGGAACTGGCGCCCCGTTACGTTGCTCCAGCAGAGCTTGCTTATGGCGGAGGGCTTTCCCGGTGTCCAGCTGAGAGTCGTCTGGATACAGGCTCGTCTTAGGTGCACGTTTATTTACAGCCTGTTGCAGTGATTTAACGGGAATGTTTAGAGTATTTCAAATAACTTTTGGTGCCCACTCAGACTTCTGAAACTCTGTGCAAACTGTTGCACCAGCGGAGTTCGTTTTCTTGGGTTGTGAAGGCAAGTGCCTAGAGGATCTCTGCTGGGCAGGGCTCCGCTCGCTCCATCCTGGTGCCTCGTGTGGAGGAATGCCTAAGGAGGAGTGGTCTCTGCCGGGACAAATGTGCTCGAAAAGAGCAAATGTAGACAAACAGGGAAGTGAAAAGCGGACATGGCTCGTGGCAGAGAACTCTGCAGTGGAGCCCCGCCTGCGGGGAGGCAGGGCCGGAGGGAGGGAGGGAGGCTGTGCCGCGAGAGGGCATCAGGCTGGGACGGAGCGCGGAGCGGGGCTCCAAGAGGCAGAGCAGGTGTTCAGAGGTGAGAAGTGGTCCAGGCAAGCGTGTGGTTCCCCGCCGGCATGTAGGCCTCTGCTCTGCCCCTATAGTGGGCCCAGGGCCTTCCCCAGGGGCAGCTGCACACCTTACAGGTCGGAGCAGAGGAAATCACGTCTCCAGTTTGGGAGTTTGTGAAGAGGTTGCAGCAGAGAAGCCACTGGGAGGTTGTGGGTGGAGCTGATGGTGGGAAACAGGACTGCGTGAGGAGGGTAGGGAGCACTGTGGGGGTGCAGGGAGCAGAGAGGGTGCCAAATGGAGCAGGAAGGGCTGGGGTGGCAGGAGGCATTTTCTTTGCAGCGGGATGCCTTCTGTGATAGGCGGGTGGTCGAGAGTGACCAGAATGACCCGGGTGAGTGGCTGGGAAAATTCAGTGACTGAGGAAAGCGTAAACGTACCTTTGAGTTTGCCTGAGTGCTGGAGCTGCAGCTCTCCGCAGGGAGAGCCCCCGCACCACAGGCCTGCCCTTACTTACTCCATTCTCAGTCGCTCTTCGTTTCTTCAGTCACATAGAGTGAGGGCACGTCTTAATGATCTTTAGTCACAGGTATGACTAATTGTAAAGAGAAGCTTTAAAATGTCGCTGTTATAATCACTAAGGAGAAAGTACTGTTCTCTGCCTCTAGTTTGATCTGGACATGCTGGTCAATAGTCAAGCATTATGATTCTTTAAATACCACGAGAAGGTAACAGTTCCTGGGTAAGTGAAATGAGATCGACAGCTCCCCCCACAGAAGTGTCTCCAAGCCTCTCCGCCCAGGACGCTCCCTGAGCGCGCACTCTTCCTCTCTCACCTTCCCTAGCCACCTTCAGACGCTCGCCGAAATAAGCGGAAGATTATAATAAAGCAAAGACTGAAAACGGTTATTGCTCCAGAAACAGGAGAAAGTAGTGGTCATGGTTCAGGAGGGCGGGCCAGCCGCCCTGGAATTCAGTTCATACGGAAGAGAAGGACATTTGGGGGCCCAGTGGCAGTGACCCTCGGGGGAGCCCATGTCAGCCAAAGCAGGGGGTGGGCAGCAGAGAGAGCCGCCAGGAGCATCCGAGGCCCCAGCAGGGGTGGCCTGCGTGCCAGGGGCCGCAGTGAGCTCCGTCCACACTCCCACGGGTGTCTGGTGACTTGGCAGATGATGTAGCACTTAGGGCCCCCTTCCTGCTCCCTGAGCCCGAGATACCTGAGAGCTAGAACCCACCCCGCCCTCAACTCCGGAAAACACAGGCCTGCCTCTCCCTGTCGGGATGAGAAAGCAGAAGGTCAGGTGCCATGGCAGGACCGCAAAGGGATGGGGAGCGGTGACCGAGTCACCGGAGGCCTTTCTAGCCTCTGATTCGTATTCTCTCAGACTTAACTATAAAACCAGTGCAACCCGATAAGCTGACATCTGGGGAAGATTGTTCAGTAACAGGTTGCCAAAGCCTGCAATATAATGAGAGCACTAGGATTCACACTGGGTGAGAAGACAAGTTTGCAGTTTTCCTCAAATCTCCAAGGGAAAGGATAGAGGTGGAAGAGGAAGCGTCCAGACAGGAAAACAGGCAGGTTGTCCTCCACGGGGGCAAGGAAGCAGCTGGCACCTCGGACTCGCATCTGCAGCATTAAAGCCAGCGGTCAAGGTGCGTCTGAACTTTTGAATGAACAGTGTTCTGAATGCTGGAGCAGACATAGCCTTACCCACGTGTCAGCACTCAGAAGTAATTAGAGACAGTGAGGACAATGAGAATGTTTCTTATCAAAAAGTTATCAAATGCAGTGAAAACTTAAAAGAGAAACCTGTAGCCTTATATGCTTCTGTTGGTAAAGAAAAAATAAAATAAACCTTCAACTCAGGAACCTAGGAAGAAACTATAAAGTGAACCTAAGGAGGCAGGACAGGACAGTTAATAAAAACCAAAGCAGAAATCAGTGAGAAGATGACAGAAGACCCATAAAACTGACGGTCGTTGTGTCAGTTTAATGCAGGGGGAAAAAGCAAACGGAGGTGCACAACATAATGAGGGAGAGAAAAAGCACAGGTGTGTTTTAAATACACAAGAGCAAGGTGCGTAACTGAATCCAAATAAATTTGGAAATAACTGAAGAAATTGTCCAAGAAAATAAGTTGCTGAAGTTGTCTCAAGAAGAGGCAGTAAAACGCCCCGTCCGTAGCCATGAGAGAAAGCACCGGTCGACGAAACTCCTCTAAACCACGCAGGCTGGGACAGAGCCAGGTCAGGGCACCTCCCTCCAGAAGAGGAAAGCCTGCGTGGGGAGCCGCCCCGGAGCACCGGGAAGGGAAGTTAGGAAGCCCTCGAGCCCCCGTCCGCTCGCCCCCCACGGCTTGGCAGCTCGTAGCCCACAGTCCCCGAGAAATCGCAATGGCACACCTCAGGCTGAAGCCAGCCGGGAGTGGCAGTGACAGCAGGCGTGCACAGGCAGGGTCCGTCCCAGCAGTCCCCCCAGAAGGCCTCCCGTGGCACTGCACCGCGTTTGCGGACAGGCGCTGAGGACGTGCCAGCGTCTCCTGACGGTTGTGTGCTGAAGCCTCTGTGGTGTGACAGGCAGGGATTGTTGTTGGAAAACAGGCTCTCCGTTCTGAAAGAGAATGTATTACCGCATCTGACAGTGATGGTGGTTCCAGGCAGACTAGGTGCTTAAATGTGAAAAATAAAGCCATAAAAGTGGAGGGAAATAAAGTAGCGTTGTTCTAGTTTAGAGTTAGAAAGGACTTTTTGAGAATCAAAGTCATAAATGGTAAAGGAAGACGACTGGGTCTGTTGGGAGCTGGGCCTGTGCAAAGTTGTGAGACGAATACCAGAATGGTGGTGATCGCTCACGTGACGAGATGAAACGCTGAAATCCTTGGGGGGAGGGTACAGTTCAAGTGGTAGGGCGCGTGCTTAGCGTACATGAGGTCCTGCGTTCAGTCCCGTTTCTCCATGAAAATAAATAAATAAGCCTAATTACCTCCCCCTGCCAAAAAAAAAAAAAAGAAAAACTAAACTAAAAAAAAAACTTAAGAAATGTTAAAATCCTTGCTGTGTAAAGAACTCTCACAAATCAGTAAGAAAGGACAGTCACTGCAGTAGAAAAGCAAAGGACGTGAAAAGATGGTTCACAAAGAAGAAAAATAGGCGGTCAGTGAATAAGCATTTGAAGTACGCGCTCATGAGCAGCGCACTCTCCTGTGCCTCTGACCTGGGAAAGTTAGAAAGTAACGGAGAGGGTGTGGGGCAGCCAGCCGGACACCCACGTTGTCCCCGGCACGACGCGTCGTCAGGAGGAGGCAGTCCCCGACTCTCACTGTGGCTGCCCTCCCCCCACAGACACCCCGCTCACCAGGGTGTCTCGACAAGGCTTGTGAGCTGTCAAAGCTGGAGAATTGAGGACAGTCGTGGGAGACTGAAGTAAATCGACGTGTCCCTACTGAGAAGTATTTTTGCCGTTTTTTAAACGATCAATATTGACATGGAAATATGTCTCTGTACTGTTTATATGGAAAGCTATTGCTTACTAAGTGGAGACAGCAGGCTGTGTATGAAGCTGCACTTTTTGTGCGTTTAAGCACACACATACATATTCAGCCCTGGGAACCATCCGCCGGTTATGTTCAGACAATTTTTTTCCCCAAATCTGAATTGCTGTTGGCCTTTTATTTTGTCCACCCCTGTTTTTAAAGTTTCCCACAGAGAATATATATTACTTTGGAAAGGAAAAGTGGTAAAACTTGCTGCCTCAAGAATGGACGCATATTTGACGCAGTGGATGGAGGACTGGGGACTGGGGATTCATCGCCGAGTGTTCACTGAGCCTCTGCTGCCCTGGGCCTGGCTCCCAGCCAGTCCTGCAGGCCTGCCCTTTCCGGGCCCGGAGAAAGCAGACCACACACGGCACAACAGGAGAAGAGAGGCGTGGAGGGGAGAGCCGAGCCGGGCCTGTCGTCCAGGTGTGGGGAGGGCAGGGCCGGGCCACCGGGCGGAAGGGCCATGCAGAGGCGGGCGGGAGAGGTGGCCCTGGTGGCCTTCGGAGGAGCTTGGGCTTCGTCCTGACCCGGCGGGAGCCATGGCGGTGCCTTTCACGTGCCACGGTGGGCTTTGCAAGCAGGAGTCTAGGTGGAAGCGGTCGCTGGGTGACTGACTAACTCCAGGAAGGACGCCATTCCCGACCCCCTGCCTTCCAGCTGGCTGCAGTGGGAAGGCTCCCTGACCTGCCTGGCCTCGGTTCCCTGCTCTGTAAGCACGGGCCCCTCTCCTCGGCTTGTGGCTATTCTGTGCAGGTGGCCTGTCCACTCCGCATGCTGGCTAGTCGATGGTTCTGCTGAACCGCTGGGAAGTGTGTGTGGAATGCCGGTGCTGTTTGGCACTGGATGTGGCACGCGTTGCACTGTGTTCCAGAAGCTTTCGTTTCAGTATGTTGATTGCTTGTGTAATTTGGAGGAAGAGATTGTTTGGGAGTAATTGGTTTAAAAATAATTTTGTGATACAATACTTTAGCCCCAAGTTAACTTGAGTAATTTTGATTAACATTTAAGTGAAGTTTTCTCTCCTTTTAAATGTTTCTTTGACTCTAGTTTATTAAAGAAATTGTAGTACTAGAGGCAGTTAAGAATTAATATTATGAGGGTTTCTTCTTACGGAAAACCTGAAGCAAGCGCAGAAACGGAGCACAGTGTAGTAGTCGCGCCCAGCACCCCGCAGCCCGCACCGGCTTGGCGTCCCGCTCCCGGGCCAGCCGCAGGACTGACCTTCCTCTGTAACCCTCAGTGCAGCCCAGCCCCAGAATGTTCTGAAGCATGTCCCCAGCACCGTAGCACTGTACCCATCCCACCTTGTAGCACACGTGTCTCCGAAAGATAAGGACGGTTACTGTAGCCACAGTAAAGTGGTTCGGGTTGACTCTCCTGGCAGAGCAGAGTTTTAATCCCACGTTAGATCTTCGTTTTGGGGTGGTTATGGAGGTGGACCCCATGACCAGGGTCAGTGCAAGTGAGTAACGTCGCAGAGTCAGCACGGAGACTCGTTTTGCCCCCTTTTTGTTTTGACTTATAAAATACCACTTTAACAGCCTGGGGGGTGCTGTGTTGCTTGGGGTGATTGCTGACGGAAGGTGATGCTATTTCAGAGACCCGGGTTATGTAACACGCTTCAGGCCGCACTTGGGCTTGGAATCGTGAGGCGCTGAAAGTGAGGAAGCTGTGGGGCAGCTGGGCAGCCTCGCCCGCAGGCGCTTCTGGAACCTGCCTTTCCTAGCCCAGAACCCACGTCCCTCCCTGAGTCCGCTGCACTTAAAAAGCGCCTTCGTTGTGGTTGACTTGAATGTTTTTCGTAAGTAGTAATTCATGGTTTTTAAAAATACGGTATCTTACTGTGACCAGTTAGGTGTTGCTGAGAGCCATTTACCACATGTCTGGGGAGGAAGGTGAGCGACGACGAGTGGATGGGAGGGTGGGGGAGAAGACTGTTTCCTTCTGGGCCTTTGTATTTCGCTTAAAATCTCCAAATATTCTCAGGGAGAAAAATTGAACCACCTGAATTTTTATTGCACTAGGTTTAAGTTTTTCTTACAGGTGCAGAGAACAGTCTGACATAGCGCCTAGCACAAAACGGGCACCCGGTCAGGTGTTGAGTAAAGGAGCAGATTCTGTACCTTCTGCTGTGTAAGAAAAGGCTCCTTTATGTTGTTGGGGTCTTTTTAAAACTCCTTTTACTAGTGGAGTTGCATCTTGTGCGTACTTATGCAAACTCAGCCATCTGCTGAGCCCAGAGAACAAGGAAAACACCAATGAAAACTGACCGTTTACCACTGCGGCAACACCAGCTTGCACTCAGCACGGGCACCCCTGACGCGGCCCAAGGTGGAGCCAGCCCCGTGCAGGTCCCTGTGTCGGGCTTGGCGCACGTGATCTGCTTCTGAACAGCCCCTCTTTGACGTCACGGGCACTCCTTGCTGCCCCAGGACCTCCCTCTGCGTAAGATATGGCTCCAGTTGAGACACTACCCCACCAGCTGATGCTTGCGTGGATAGCGGGGCCGTTGGGGGTCTCTGCCCTGTGCTTCCAGATGCCTAAAGCTGTTACCACCATTCTCCCCTTTTCTCAATAGCTTCGTTTGCTCCAATAAGCTTTGCAATCAAGGCCAAAGAAAATGATCTGCTTCCCCTGGAAAAAAACCGAGTTAAGCTGGACGATGACAGTGATGATGATGAAGAAAGCAAAGAAGGCCAGGAAAGTTCTAGCAGTGCTGCAAACACGAGCCCGGCAGTTGCCCCGCCCTGTGTGGTTGCCGAGGAGAAGCGGCCTCAGCTCACCCAGGAGGAGCTGGAGGCAAAGCAAGGTTTGTCAGTATGTTTTAACTGCTTGAAAGAAAAAAGTGCGTAAACACAAGGTTAACCTAGTAAGCCGGAGCTGAGGCTGCCGGTAGACTCCAGCCTCTGCGTGCAGAAGCACGGGGCTTGTCCTCTGCTGGCCTGGTGAGCACTGCCCTCCACTGAGCTTGGGCACAGTGCCCTGGGCAGTTTGCTTTCAGAGGATGAGTTGGGAGTTGGCCAAGAGTGCTTTAATGGCAGCCTTGGGGCAAATGCTGGGTTAATGTACCGGGCTAGGAGGTACCCTTTTGTGAGGCTGTCTCCCTGCTGGGGCCCAAGCTCATCTTCTTGGGTCACAGCGGCGTCCCCGCTCGCCTCTGATGCACGGCCAGCAGCGTTTTTGGGGACCGTCGTGTGTTCTATACCTGCTCCAAAATAAGTCATGTTCTGCAGTAAAGCAGGCAATTAACAGTTGCATTTGCAGTTTTTAGTCTGTTCTAACTGGTTTTTGAGAGTTGCTTTTTCTGTGTATACAACAAACAGATCAAACAACACTTTTAAAAGGTAGTTAATTCTTGGACCACAGCCTTGCCCTGGAGAGCGTGCGCCGTGCTGCATGCCTCTCCCTCAGCACACCTGTGTCCGCGCGCGTGCATCTGCGTGTGCACTTACTGTGCGTGAGCTAAGCCTGTGTCCGAGCATTGGGGAGAAAGCGCTTGTCCTGGTGTGTCCACTGCCTGCTGTGACTCTTGGGCATGTGGCCTGAGGTTTTCACCCTTCCGGGTTCCACTGGTATGGAATCCCGTCAGTCTTTGGGCGCTGATTTTGAAAGTGCAGTTTGGAGAATACTGTTAATAAGCAGTATAAACCAATTCAGAATTGCCTTTGCCCAACCCATTCACCCACCCTGGAGTCTGCATCGTGTTCATCTCTTAAAGTAACTGCATCACACCTCGTGACCCTTTTCCCGCCTGTGAAAGTTAAGATAGCAAGATAGTTATGAAACACTGCGTGCTTTGAACGTCATCTTATCTTTGTTTATTCCTTAAGCAAAGCAAAAGCTGGAGGACCGGCTCGCGGCCGCCGCCAGGGAAAAGCTGGCCCAAGCGTCCAAAGAATCAAAGGAGAAACAACTCCAGGCGGAACGTAAAAGGAAAGCGGCCTTGTTTTTACAGACCTTAAAGAACCCCCTGCCGGAGGCGGAAGCCGGGAAGGCTGAGGAGAGTGCTTTCACTGTGGAGGTAAGGCCAAAGGGTCCGCGCTAGTGTTCAGGGCAAAGCACGGTTGGTGGCGGTACCTGGGGCAGTGTCCCCGTCCGGTCAGCTCCGCGGCCCGCCTGGAGGCTGAGTGCTCCCTGCCGCTCTCCCCGCTGCCTTCCGCGGGCCCCGCTGTGCGCTGTTCCAGGCCGACCTTGGAGATGCCGTGGGCTCCGCTCCGGACCGCAGGAGCAGAGCAAGTCACGTGCATTTTTTGGTTTCCCAGTGCACATAAAAGTTGTATTTACACTATACTGCGGTCTGTTAAACGTGCAGTGGCATTACATCTAAAAAAAGTTACGTATCTTAATTTTAAAATCTCTTATTGCTAAAAAAATGCTAACCAGCATCTGAGCCTTCAGCAAGTCATGATCCTTTAGCACTGGTCACGTCACCGATCACAGATCTAATCGTGAAAAAGTTTGAAATATTGCAAGATTTACCAGAATGCGACACAGAGACATGAAGTGAGCAAATGCTGTGGGGAAGACGTGCCGATAGACTTTGTCAACGCAGAGCTGCCGCAGGCCTTCGGTCTGTAGGAGTGCAGTGTCTGAAGTGCGCTAGGGTGAGGCTTGCCCGTGCCGTGCGGCTGACTCAGCGAGAATCCGGTGAAAATGCCCCGTGATGCACGTCCACGCCGAATACCGGGTGCAGCCTCAGAGACACGGGCCCCAGGCCCCGGTCGGGAACCCCTGCTCTGTGGCGGCCCTCGTGGGAAATGGAGGGAAGCCTGGCCTGAGGGGCTCGCCCCGCGCCGGACCAGGCTGGCCGCTGCCCGGAGGTTTGAGAATCTTGCTGGGGACCAGCACTGTAATTTTTTAAAAAGTAAGTAAGGTATGGTCACCGTCATCTTCTCTTGAAGGGGTCCAGTCCTCACAGTTCTTTCCTGAGCTGTAGGACCAGAACGTGGCCCCTCTGGCCCATTTCCTCCCTTCAGATGGGGCTGGGACACTCAGAACAGCGCCTGTGCCATTTCTCCAAGTGTCCCCAACATGTCTCCTGCAGCTGCCTTCTCCCCATAACACAGAACAGGCCCCACGCCTTTTTTACTTTAATTACCTTGACATTTCTGAGAGTCTAGAACCATTCTTCAAAACTCACTTTTGTTGCCTGTAGCCACTTGGTTTATTTGGTTTTTCCTTGGAAACAGCTTTCTGAGCTCAGATTTTCAGCATTCTGTTGAAGGTCAAATCAGCATTCTTACCTCAGAAATCAGTCTGAAATTCTCTCAGATCTGGCCTCAAGTAACAGCAGGACTAGACCAGGGAGAGCAGGGAGCATCTGTTCCTGCGCGAGCTTGCCCACAGTGGGCTGCGCCGTCCGGGGCGCCCCGGGCGCCTCACCAGCTCCAGCTGCAGGAGCTGCTCTCGGGCCAGTGCTCTGCCCCGCCTCGGAGTGGGGCTCCCCCAGGGCGCGGTGGTGTCCCCCACTCTCCCCGAGGCCCTTCCAGAGGCAGCCCGTCAAGGCAAAAGCAGGTCGCCCAGACAGCACCCACA